TATATATATATATATATATATATTCATATATATATATATATATTCATATATATATATTCATATATATATATATACACATATATATATATATATATATATATAAGATAGAAAGATATACCCTAAACCGTAACCCCCTAAACCCTGAACCCGCTAAGCCTGCCCTGAAAAGAACCCTGAAGAGTCCAGTGCCCAAAACCCTAAACCCTGAAAGCCATCAACCCTTAAACCCCCCTAAGCCTAAACCCTCCAAACCCTTAGGGTTTTAGGGTCTGTAAGGGTTTAAGGTTTTAAGGTTTTTCCACAATAGCACTTTAGGGTATAGGGTTCGGGCTTAGGGTCTTTAGGGTATACCTGTTCTAAACCACAAAGGGGTCAGGGCACCCAAAGGGGTTATAGGGCTTAGGGTTTTTTTTTCGAGGAGCACACGTATGAGGATGCCGAAGGCTCCTTGAAGATAATGTAGGATAAGGAAGCCAGAGGCTCCTTAAAGCTAATGTACAATTAAGGAAGCCAGAGGCTCCTGTTTTGTGGCCGCTAGACAATATTTGTTTATCCTCAGCAGTCCTCCCAAGCCTTGAATTTTTTGCAGTAGATCTGTGAGATGTGTGCCGCCATGGATCCGGACATCATGCAGCGGGGAGGATCCAAACAAAGAGCTGCGAACCGTGCTGCACAAACTTCGGCAGCAGTTCCAGAACCCAGCCGATTGGCGACCCACCTTCTGCGGTCATTCGGCTGGGGGAAGATGTCTTTGCCAGAAGTACAGGTGGTGGCTGCACTGGTGGAAGAAGATGCATTGGAGCCAGTCAAAGCCGAGATTCGCATACTTGCCAATCTCGGCTCTCGGGGCCTATATCAGGGAAATCTCCGGAGAGACCTATTGAGGCACACTCAAATGCCTGCTCTTGTGAGCAGCAACGTGTGTGTGCCCATCAAGAAAGCTCTCCGGGCTGCGATCCCGTTTTTGGACCCTGTTGACGTGTTTCGGTCGCTGCAGCGACAGCCAATGGTCTTCCGTGAGTTATGCTGCAGGAACGATGGTGACATAGCGAACTTTTGGCGAGAGGTCGGCTCCTCGCACCCTGCACTCCTGCACCATCCCGTGAAGAAGATCAAGAACTACCAATCCAGCGCGGTACCGCTGATCCTGCACGGCGATGGAGTTCCGATTGACAGCAAGGACAGGTCTTGTGCTTTTATCTCTTGGAGAAGCCTGCTCTCCTCACAGACCTCTTCAAAGCTCGTCCATGTGCTGATAAGTGCTGTTTGGACTGAGCAGATCGTGGTGTCTTCCTGTGGCAACACTGTGGCCAGCATCTGGGGACACGTCGTTCGGGCCTTTGAACGATGTTTCGAAGAATGCAAGACGAACAATGACTTGTTACCGGTGCTCCTTTTTCTGACTGGTGACTTGGAATGGTACAACACGAGTCACAACTTGCCACGGTGGAATTCCAACTTCCCTTGCGGGCATTGCAACATCAGCAAAGACAATATGTTCGACTACAAAAACGTGGCGGAGGTTCCTGTGGATCCATGGCACTGCCCTCGCCGCAGCTGCTGCCCTCTCCTGCGACACCTTGTGAGCCCCAGTGGTGTGATTCCGGACTGGATGCACAGCAAGCACCTTGGCTTCGACCAGCGGCTGGCTGGCTCAACGTTGTGGGTTCTCTGCTGGAGGATCCTTCCTGGCGGAGTAGAGGAAAACCTGGACAATGTATTGCTGCAGATGAAGGCTGTGAACTTTCCTTTTTTTCAGATAGGCTAGCTTAAGCTCCTCCTGTTTTCAGATATGTATAGGCAGCTTAAGCTCCTGCTGTTTTCAGATGTGGTATAGGCAGCTTAAGCTCCTGTTGTTGTGAGACATGGTATATAAAAGTTGTAGTGTGTAGGCAGCTTCAGCTCCCCTGCAGGACTACTGGCGGCAGCACAAGGGCAATGGCATCAACTACATCACTCAGACCATGGTCCTGGCTGACCCACAGGATATTCACTGCAGAAAGGGATACCCTCGCTTGAAGGCCAAGGCAGCAGAAACTAAGGGCGTTGTTGCAGCTTTGGCGAGCATCTGCCAACAGCACCTGCAACAGGACAACGAGGAGCACCAACAGATTGCCCTGGCTTTGAGTTTCAGCCGCGATTTGGACCAAATGGCAGATGGCATCGAAGACTGGAAGCCCTCGAAAGAGGTGGCGGATCGGATGATGCTCACGGCCGTTTGTCTCTTCCAGTGCATGACGATTTTGAATAAGTCCTTTCTGGAGCAGGGCCATCTGGCCTTCCAGTTGACATTCAAGACACACTGGTTTCTGCATGGGCTGCAGCTGGCGAGGCATCTTTCCCCCAAGCTGACTTGGACATACTCCGGCGAGGATTATATGTCCAAATGCAAGGGTCTCCTCAAGATGTGTACCAAGAGCCGGACGATGCTGACTTCGTTGGATCGTTTCATGCGGCAGTACACAGATGCCATGTCAATCGAACTGGCAGAGATCCTTGCACAGCCTGGACCGCCGCTCTGAGGAGAAAAAATGGGACCGTTCCTTAATTGCTGAAGGAAGCCTCGGGCTCCTCGTTCCTTAATTGCTGAAGGAAGCCTCGGGCTCCTCAGAGATTTTGAGCGCCTGCAGTTCTGAAGCAATCTAAGCCTCGGCCTCCTTGTAGGATCTTCAGGGCATGTATCTGCTGCAGCCGTTTTTCAGCTCAAGCTCGCCGCTCGCCTCCGTAGTACAGCCATGGCAGACGAGGCCGAGCAAGCCGTTGAGGTCAAGGACCTCGTGGAGGCAGCTCTGCAGAAAGACGAGGGCGACCAAGCCGTTGAGGGCAAGGACCTCGTGGAGGCAGCTCTGCAGAAAGCCCGAGAGGAGGAGCTCGACCCAGAGGCTCGCAAGTGCAAAAGGGAACGGTGGGTGGGCTACCAACACGTGAACTTCCCCTGGCTTTCTACCGCCTTCCTCAACGAGGTGTTGCCCAACAGCTGGTTCGTTTCCAAAAGAGCTTGGGAAAAAGAAGCCTGTGTTGCCCGTCGAACCCTGAGGCTGTTGACTTGCCTCCGCTTCGGCCTCAAGCTACAGCAGCTGGCTGCCGGCAAAAACGGCGGGGCATGAGTGCCATGTAGTGGCTCCATGCTATAATTTAATGCACGTGTCATGACACATGTGTATATGCTAGGGATCGAAGTCGCTGCGAGGGAAAAAAGGAGTGCATGAATCTATAGGAGCTGTAGTCCAGGAAGCCAAAGGCTCCTGAGGGATATTAAGATAGGCCAAGGGCGAGGAAGCTGCCAACTCGATCGCTTTAGAAATGCAATAAGCAAGGAAAGGCACAGAAGGCACAAATGCACCATATACTCAGAAAGGCTTCCATGAACCCCGCAAGCCAATGGGGTCCAGGAAGCCAGGCAACCAAGAAATCCAGGATGTGTCAGTCCTGGATCCGCACGGGACCGCCTCGTGAAGACGTGGCGGTCCCACCTGTGCGAGGAAGCCGCCAGCTCCTAAAAAAAAAGGTAGCTTAGAAGCTCCTATAGGCATCCGGTGACACCATAGGATGTGCCCGCATGCATGGTTGTTGTATATATATTGTATGTTTTTCCCGTGCAGTTTTTTTAGTTTGCAGCTGTAGGACTCCTGCCATGGCACTGCCGACAGTTGGCGAGCGGCTGAAGGTGCTGCCGTCAGTGACTGCAGCTGCCCTTGAAAATGCCGTCGAAAAAGGGTTGCGGCAGATGGGCCACAACACACTCGGCATGCTGTGCAGAGGACTGGATGAATGCTCATGGAAGACGGCCCTGGGCAAACACATCCAGGAGGTCGTGTTCCTCGCTCCGATCTTGAACCGTATCTTCGAGATCTGCACCAATGGCTTGATACCCCATGCCTTGCTCCAGACTGCTTTGCTCGGCCTGTTCAAGAGGGACATCCTGGTACTACAGGCTCCACAGCAGAAGTTGCCAGGCTGGGGGCGCTCATAATCTCATGATAGGTATAGCCTAAGGATCCTAAGACTCTAGTGCCTAACCCGGCCCCTAAACCCATAAATTCAAAGCCCTGCAGGCTGGGAAGACTCGTCGCTGCAGTACTTCAACCTGAGATTCAGAATGCTGGCCGGCAAGATTCGGGATGTTGCCACCGGCAAGGAAAAGATGCCCAAGAAACTCGACAAGCAGGCACTTCAACAGGTGCAGGCCCTCTGCTTGCAGATCAACCCGAAGTTCAAAATGGAGGACATGGTGCAGCCATCGGAGACAGTGCCGCTGAAAGGTGTACTTGCACTCCAGGACGGGCCAGCGAAGGATGCCGAGACGGAGCCTGCAGCAGCAGTCGTACCTGCACCTGTCACTCCTCCGTTGTCCCATACCCCCGCTTCTGGCAGCATGGGCTTCATGCCAAGGGCATCTGGAAGCATGGACTTCATGCAAAGGGCGACACAGCAAGCTTTGCAGAATGCCTGGGCAGCCTCTCCGGCCAAGCCCCTCACCAAGAAGCAGAAGGAGGCGGCTGTCCAGAAACGGCCTGCGAGCAAAGCTCCAGAAGCCTCGCCGAAGAAGCGGCCTGCTGCCAAAGACCCAGAAGCCGGCACAGCTGCCAAGAAGCAGAAGGAGTCTGTTAACCCTGCCCCTGTGCCCGGCCGCGAGGAGAAGGAGCTCTACCAGGAGGCGATCAGCACTATTATCTCTGACTCCGTGTTTAAAAGCACGGACAGTAGGAACCACTACACATCTCGATTTTACGCCAAGGCGAAGAGGCTTGCTCTTGGCCACGGCTTGGGAAAAGAGAAGGCCGTAGAGTGGGCTCGCAAAGCCCACTCGAAAGCCAGCCAGCTCTGGGATGAAAAGTTTCACTGAGAGTGAAGTCCACTCGAAAGGAAGCCATGGGATGAGACTGCGAGTAAAAGGAGTGCTGCATCTGGGGTTTTGGGCAAATTATAAGCCAGAAGCCGCCTTAGGAAGCAGAAGCTCCTGAAGCATCCAGTCCAAGATTTAAGTCAGGAAGCCTTAAGCTCCTGAAACATCCAGTCCAAGATTTAAGTCAGGAAGCATAAGCTCCTGAAAAGAATTCAAGGAAGCAAGAGCTCCTGGAGGAAAATCAAGGGCTAAAATAGCCTATGTAATAGTTTAAAATAGACTATTCAATAGTTTAAAATAGACTATAATAGTCTATTTAAAATAGACTATATCCTAGTCTATTTTTGACTATATATCTTATAATAGACTAATAGTCTATTTTAGGATATATAGTCTGTTAACAGCCTAAGAAGATTCTTTGGGAAGCTTTGCTGGCTCGTCCCAGTCTACTGTCCGTTCAGCCTCGCTTGGCTGCGCAGATGCTTCAGAAGTAATGGCGGCGAAGAGTCAAGGGCCTCACTACACGTGTGGGGCACTACCAGCTACACAGGAACCTCCTATTGGGCCTCCAAGGTCCAAAGAGCGCACTAGCGCTCCGCTACCATGAAATTTTCTCTGTGATCTTTCGAACGCCTGCAGATATATGCACTTCACCATGTGAGCACAAGATACATACCTGGCCATACATACTGTACACAAAAGGAAAACATTTGGTGCGCAAAAGGAAATGTATGCACGCGCACATCGGTACCAAGTTTTGCAAGAACGCTTGAGCCATGCCAGAGCAAAAGGGGTTGTCTCGCCTGTACCACTAGAGTTCCAGGATCTCTTCCATCAAACGGCGGATTCTCATTTCACGGCAGCCAGCTTCACTGAGGTCTGTCGTAGGGTTCACCAGTTGCACCCCACTGACGCTCCGGGAATACAGTGGTTTTGTTGCAAGTCAGGCGAAACCCTTCTCCTAGTCACACAACATGCTCTGCGGGCCTACCTTGCGGGACATTTTGCCAGCTGCGAGATTTTCAGTGCTTTTTTGCGAGCCCCGTGTCAATGCAAGTGCAAATCCTCTTTGCTGTTTGGACGTGCGCCTACCCCGGAGCAAATTCATCAACTGGATGCCACACCCTGGGGACCCAAATTGTGTACGGAATCTGCGCCGGTATTAGGCTTTGTATTGTGGGGTGCGCCAACATACGTTGGCAGCACGGCTGGCCCTTCCACCCTTCCGAAAGCGCAAATCCTCCTCACGGGCCAAAAAGCGGCATCGTCCATTGCCCGTAAAATAAAGTTATTCCAGCCGCTCCGCCAGTCTTTACCGGAGCGTGCCATATGCTGCCGAGCATATCTGCAAAGCTGCCTCCAATACACCCAGCAAGTCATTCCGCCAGATGCAGGCGAGCAGCAGCGCACCCTGGTCGCCTGCGCTAAATACGTTCTTGGGGGTGGAAGACATTGGCTCGAAGCAAAGCACGTCAATGGCGTCTTTCGCATTTTTAAGATCCCGCAGCCCGGTACCTGGCGGTTGTCATGCCCTCTAGGGCGATTGGGGTTTCTGTTGCGATTAGCCCCAAAACTTGCGATCGCGGCAGTTGGGGGAATACGTCCGGTCTTACCGGGGGAAAAGCCTCTCCTCGCTGCCGTTCTGGGACAGGTTACCCGCAGCCTTGATAATACTACTGCTGCTCTACCCATACGGGACGCCCTCCAACAATACGCGCGAACTCTAGTTGCTACCAACTTTAGCGCTTGGAATGAAGGGTCCACAAAGGAATCGCTGTCTCACATCCGCAAACTTTATAAGCGCTGCATCCTCGAGACAGAAGACTCACAAGCCGCTCACTACTTGCTTGACAAAATTGCCAAGCAGCCGTGGGCGTCGGCCGGCTTGCAATGGGTTGCAAGCGTCCTTAATTGTCCGGCCAGCCTCTCTAGCACGGTTGCACGGGCCTATGCACTTCGGTGGATTGTGGCCGAAGAGGCTGATGCAAGTTTTGTGTTTCGCCAACATTATACACGGCCCGTCACGTGTGCTCAGTGTCATCATCCACACCACCCGGCCAGCCTGCAGCGCCTCGGGCACTCGGGACAGGGCAGTCTCTGTAGAGGTTGTCTTTTAGCCCTCGGTTGGCCTGAGCATAAAGCTTGGCTCGCGTGTAGAGTTGATGCGCTCACACCCTTCATCCTCGAAGCAGGAGACGAATGGTGGAGCATGCCAAATCTAGATGCAATACCCACCCCGAGGAGAATTGGCGCCATATCGCCTGCAGTTTTTAATTATCTGGAGCATCCGTGCTTGCTCTGCGGCCATGCGGACAACTCTGTAAGGCATTGGCTCTGCGAATGCCCTGTCGTTACGCACTCTGCACGATTGCTTGGACTACAACAGCCACTAGTACTTCAGGGGCGAGGCCCGCCCAAACATGCCGCGTCTTCGCTAGAGCTTATCGCCTCTGCACGGCGCTATCTCAGAGAGCTTGGCGCAATGTGGACCCCGGGTTGGACTCCGCCGTCAAAAACCCATGACTGCGGTCCCCTTGAGCATGCAATCAAAATCGCGACCGCCGCCTATTGGGGGGCGCCCGCCCGGTTCCGCCCGGTCTATGGGCCGCCGGCGGATTCATTGCGCAATGGATCGAGTCACGGCTGCCTTTTTTCCCGCGGCCTTAGTGTCTCGGCGCCGGATGCTTTCTCTCGAGTACGCCATAGAGCCACTGGTCAGCAACCGGCTGTTACCACTACAGTCGATTTTACAGAGGGCTTCTCTGTCGCTGTACTCGACCCCCATGCAGTGGAGGTTGGGTTGCTCTACCTTGCGCATTTGGTTGCGAAACCGAATGTCCGCGTTGAACACCGCCTTTGCACCTGCGGCCGAATTCATGCCTTCGTCACTGCGCTATGTAGCATCCCTGCAGGTGCTTACCTTACTGCCCATGTGCAGCGGTACCCTGCGGATGCACTGTATGTACAGTTTGATGGAGGATGCAAGCGACACTTAACAGCTGGGGGGGCTGGCGTAGCGATGTGGCATCAAGTAGTCACCGGCGCGGCGGACATTGCTTTCTCATTGCCTTTACCTGACTGTGCAGATGCCTACGAGGCCGAGGCGGAGGCGGCAATACTAGCGGCAATCCGGTCTTTAGAATACGCGCTCACCCTCAGGGGAAGAGGGGTATCAATTCGAGTCGTTCATATTCAGGGAGATAATCTTGCCGTAGTCGCTTACTTGGCCGGATTCGGCCGGCTCCGCCGGGTTAGCTTAGT